AACTCTGCGCATGCCCTTTTTCTTTGCTAAACTTTTGAAAATAGGTATGTCTGACAGATGTTTGACGTTTTACAGTTCTCTTATAAATGCTTACAAGTTTCAATTAATTGCTTGGAACATGCAAGTTGCCCTTTCCTAGTCCTACCGCTTTTCTTTTGGCCAAACTCTCTATTTACATCTTTCATTTATTTTTCTTTTAGTGATCAACATTTTTCAAATTTTTTTTTCTTTGTTCACATTTTTTACTTTTCAAAACCTGTGAAAAACTTAATATTTTAACGTATTATCACAACATTGTTAAAAAATACATTACATGGTAGCCAAAAATTAATATGGCACTATGTGACAATAGTAATCCAATGTGGATCCATTTTTTTGATGATGTGATTTATTTTCTCAACACGTGGAATGCTAGCCTCCATGAAAGATCGAAAAAGATTTCATCCATGGTTCTAATAGAGGTTAATTCAGATTGGAAAAAAAAGAAGGTTTAAGTACCATTTTGGTCCCTCAACTATTCACTTTGGTACCAAAATTGTCCCTCAGCTTTAAAAAGTACCAAAATTATCCTTAAACTTTCATTTTTGGTACCAAAATGGTCCTTCCGTCAGTTAAATTAACAGCTGGCACGTTAAAGGGACACATGGCACGTTAAGTTGCCAGAGAATTATATTTTTTTTGAAAAAATTACTGATGTGGAAAAAAAACACACAAATTGATGACGTGGAACCTTTTTTTGTCTATGTGGCATTTTAATTGTAATAAATAAATAAGAATTAATTATTATTAATTAATTAAAGTCAATTAACCTTTTCTTCCTTATTTTCCTGTTCTTCTTCAACCTTCCCCTCTCTCTTTCGTTCCTAGGCTTGTTGTTCTTCACTCTTCCCCTCTGTCTTTCTCTCTTGTCCCTGGGCGCCATCAATCCTTCGACATCTCTTCTCGTTCCATTTCACCATTTTAGGTTTTTTTCTTTACAGTGAATCTGGGTTCACCATCACCAGTGCTGGATTTTTTTCTTCCTCTTCTCCTCTCTCTCTCAATCCTTCGAAAATCAAACTTCTTCCTTCGTTTCGCCACTCATCCTTTTTCTTTCTTCTTTCTCTTTTTCCTTCTTCTTCCTCTCCCAATCAAACCCAGATCTGGGTTTTTCTCAAACCCAGATCTGGGTTTTTCTCAAATCCAGCTGTCCTAAGAAATGGATAAACTCGGTGTGTAAAAGCCGCCACCTGCACGACTCGCTGCACAAGCACATGGTGGATCTCGAAATGAATCTTCAGATGGTCTCCGAAGAGATTGCCGCCTCTCTCGAGGAGCAGAGCGCTTCCGCCCTTCTCTGCGTCCCTCGTGCCACCCGTGACGTCCTCCACCTCGTGCCACCAGCAATTCCGTTGCTGGAATCCTCGACAAGCTCAAGAAGGTCTGTTGTTCTTATTATATTTCCTTCTGTTAGAGATCTTATGTCAATTTCGTGTTGCTTGGATCTTGAGAAAGTGCAGGGGAGTTGAAATTCGTTTAACTTAGTAGTCTTTAAATTGGAAACCGAATAATGGAGATTTGGTTTCAAAACCTTTTAATTATTGGAAATGTGCTTAATGCAGCTGAATTTTGAAATTGAAGGCGAAAGGCTCCTCAACGAAATCTGAGTTGTTAATGCATGGTTCTCTGGTTTACATCTATTAAACAGGATGCTGCAGGGTTAACACAATGGAGATTTGGGTTTTAGATCTGGGTTCCAGCGATGTGCAGGATGAGAGAGGAGGAGAAAAACCTAGATCTGGGTTTGATTTGGAAAGGAAGAAGGGAGAAGAGGGAGAACAAGAATAAAAAGGAAAAAGACAAAAAAAATTTTTTAATTTGAAAAATGGTGAAACAATAATAAAAAATATCAAAATTTTTTACTTGAAATTTACACGTCATTCAAATTAAGTTGTCCAATGATGCTGTGGCATTTAACGTGCCAGCTACCCATTTAACCTATCATCTGTCCCTTTAACGTGCCATGTGTCCCTTTAACGTGCCATGTGTCCCTTTAACGTGCCAGCTGTTAATTTAACTGACGGAAGGACCATTTTGGTACCAAAAATGAAAGTTTAAGGATAATTTTGGTACTTTTTAAAGTTGAGGGACAATTTTGGTACCAAAGTGAATAGTTGAGGGACCAAAATGGTACTTAAACCAAAAAAGAATAATCTTTTAATTCACTTGCGAGAAAAGTTGAGAACCCATCAAAGAATCAAATCATCATCTTATTATTCTATTAAAACCAGAAAGAATCACAGAAAGAAAAGCAAAAGAAAGGTAGAATCTGGGTTTCTCACGACGAGAAACCCATCACGATGGAATCCAAATTTGGGTTCCTCGTGGAACCTAGAGCTAGGTTCCTTTGTTCTGGGTTCCACCTTGTTCTAATTCTTTTATTTTTAAATTTTTTTTTAATTGGGAGGTTTTCACGTAAAATTATGCTTTGTTATCATGTCACATCATTAAAAAAATTATTTATATTAAATAAATAATGTCATATAATACCTACATGTGGCATATATATTTTTTAACAATTATTAATAGTATCGTGATGATGTATTAAAATATTAAATTTTTTACAAGTTTTGAAAATTTGAGAGGGTGAATAAAGAGGAAAAATTTTAAAAGGTGCCAACCACTAAAAGAATTAAATAAAGGGTATAGATAGGGGATTTGGCCTATTCTTTTAGTATCCACGCAAGTAAAGGCAATTGTTCCAATCCATCACCTATCTCTTGACTAGTCTGCTGGTACCCACACAAGTCAAGTCTTTTTTCCCTTCCTGTGCGGGCATTCACACATGCTCAAATCGAGGCTCAGTATTGATCTTGCCAGGTGATAGCTTCAATTTTAGACTTACAATGGATGTTTTTACTTTGATAGCAACTGTGAGTACTTGTTTTATAATCTTCTTGAAAGCCTCTACAGCAATTGATTCCATTTCTCCATCTAAGCCTCTCCTTGATGGAAACACCTTAATTTCCAATGATGGAAGCTTTGAGTTGGGTTTCTTTCGTCCAGGCAGTTCTGGGAACCGGTACTTGGGAGTTTGGTACAAGAACATCCCAGTCAGCACAGTTGTTTGGGTTGCAAACAGGGTGAATCCAATAAATTACTCTTCTGGCATGCTAATGGTAACAACGACCGGTGATCTTCAGCTTCTGAGTCAGAACACAACAGTTGCTTGGTCAGCTAACTCAACAAAAGCTGCTCAGAATCCTATACTGCGGCTCCTGAATTCTGG